TCCCGAATGAAAGTTTGCTACTGGTATGGACAAGGGATAAAAGCATAGGTTCCCCACCTGCCTCTCTTTTCTCTGTCCTAGCCACAGAAAACGACCAGTGAGAGCAACTTTTCACACAGCTAGCCACAAATTGCAAATTTCAGTCCTGAAGAATGGGGACACACATGGTTAAACACTGTATTCTTATGTTATACCAGAACATGCTTGTTCTGGCAACAGTGACAAGGGTTAATATATCTTTGTATTTATAGGTGATGCTTGGATTTATTGTATCAGTAAGAATGAGTGGAAACAGTTTGAGCATAATTATTCTGAAAAACCAAGGTAAGGTGTACACACATTCTTGGAAATGTATAAAAACCAGTAATAGTGTCTAGGAAATCTTAGGGGGCAGTCTGTAGCATTGATATGGCACACAGGTCTTGGATCTCTTTTTAATGTTTAAGTAGTGATAAATCAGATTGGTTGCTCTTACCCAACCATGATAATACATCCTGTTTTATGAAGGTGCAGGATTAAGGTAGCTATATGTCTGTGTGCTGATACAGACTCCTGCATATCTCTCTGTGATTACATTGTTTGGAACTCAAAACTATATTACTGTTCTGCGTAACTATTAGCCTATAAAATGGCAGAGAACTAACTAGAATGTCCATTTTAGTGGTGTTAGTACACAAAGCTCTAGTACTCGACAGGCAGAGTAGACCTTAACATGTCAGACTTGGAAATCCATACTCAGTCTACTAACAGAATGTTTTGTTTAAAACTGCTGCTCTGGACATAAGGGGAATCACAAAGCTTTGATTGCCCTGGCTGACAGCTGGCTCTGCGTCAGAGTACTTTGCTTGATAGACTTTGTCTAAATAGAGACCATTGTCTTTTACATGGCTGAAGTCATAACAGTGTTAGTTAGGGTGCATAAGAATGAGATGGAAAACATTGTAATGTCACCATAAATCATCTTTGCTTGGAATACTGTTAAGTTCTGGTCACCCAATCTCAAGCCGTAATAGAGGGAGTTCAGAGATGTTTGTCAAAAAATAATTAAAGGAATGAAAAGATTCACACAATTGGGACTGTTTAGAGAAAGATATAAGATAACCATATAGGGAAGGCATAGGGGTACTCTTACACTTTATTGTACTAAAAACAAAGGGACATTGAATAGAAGTGAAAAGTAACAAACTTAGAAAAGGAAATACTCTTTTGCATAAGTGGTCTATGGAACTTGTTGGTACAAGTTGCAACTGAGACAGAGATCCAAGGATTGCACTCATGGATTAGACTAAGCACAGTCACATTCGATAAAATGTTTTAGAATGATGATGAACGTCAGTGCCTCTGGGCATAAGCCAGTCCCAACTGATGGACAGGTATAGGATAACCTGCTTAGTATGGCACTACTTGAACCTTTTACTGAAGTGTCTAGTACTGACCACAGCTGCAAGATACCAGACTGAATGGACCACTGCTCTGATTCAGTATCATAATTCTTATGTGGTGGTCAGCGCTGAGCATACTATAGCTAGTTAACTTAAGGCTAATCTTTTAGAAAAGGCAATATGGGAAAGTACTCGTTCCTTATTGTGCAAAATTCTGTAGTAAGATTGTAGTAATCTACTAGAGCTAAACTTTGTCCTATCCCAAGCACCTTTCTTACAATTGATCTTCCTGCAGGGTTCAGAAATCTGCCTTAAATAGTATGTTGAAATTTAAATAATATTTTTCAGATGCTTGATAAAAACACTGAAATTTGACGTAAGTACTATAAGGCAGCTAAGGTGTATCAGTAATAACATGTGTTAGACAACAGGTGGAATGTGACAGTGTGGATGGTGAGGGTTCACCTTGTCTCATTGTTTGGATAATCTTGTTGTAACTGGTTCGTTCAGCTCTCAAAAACTGGAAGCCTCTGATATGATTGGCTTGACTGAAAAAAATAGAATGCTCTACCATCAAACAATATTTCTTCACAAACCCTTCAGCTACCAAAACTAGGATTACCGTAAATTTTAGTTTACCTTCAAAAGATGAATTTCACAAGTGCCCATTATCAGACTATAGAACCACTCAGCACTACTTTGCTTTCCCACCCAAACAGCTTACAAAGTGGGTATCTGTAATATGGTTTGTGTACAGGGAATGATAACTCTTATCCACTGAAGTCATTCTTTACTGTTGCTAGAAATTATTACATGCTGAAGCTAACCTGTCTGCATCGACCTTGCATATAAATATTACATCTTATTTCACAGCACTTCTCTGTAATGATATTGATGCTGTACTTGGACTCTTTCTCTTTGTACTTAATAAATGTGTGGCTTGTTCATTTTCTAGGCTGTGGCATACAGCTTGTGCAAGTGAAGAAGGAGAGGTGATTGTTTTTGGTGGCTGTGCCAACAACTTGCTTGCCCATCACAAAGCAGTAAGTCTGTTTAAGAATTTCACCTATGTAGTATGTACCTTCTAGTGCTACTGTGTGGAAAAACAAATTTTTTATAAAGTGAGACCTGCCCTTAGCATCTGTCACTTCAACTGCAATCTACAACTGTGAAACGCCTTTTTCTGCCATCAGTGACTAAGACTTTCAACGCCACAGGAAAATTTCGCTGTTTAAGAGAAACTTTTGCTGCTTTTTAAGGAATGAACTTATCAATGTATTTAACAATAAGGCTTCAAATATTAATTAACATCTCTCTTTCCAGGCGCATAGTAATGAGATACTTGTGTTTTCTCTACAACCAAAATCTCTTGTAAGGTAAAAAAAAAAAATACACTTTTGAATCTTACACCCCTGTTCTTCCCTTCTCATTTACTAATACCTTGTACTTTAGTACCGGATCATGGTTCCTAGGCATACTTGGGAGACTGAGGTAATAACAACATTCCCCTAGGAAAGCTGAAATAGCATTCAGTGATGGAAGGAGTTTTGCTGCTTCCATTCTTTTGTAAAGACTTCATAATCCTCTGACAGTGAAAACAGCTAATACTTTGGGGGGAACAAGTCAACTAAACAGCTTTAAGAAACAGAATTCTTACCTTTGGTGCTATTTCACTTATGTTTTTAATAGTAACTGAGATATTCATTATTTTTCTAAGGCTGTGCCTAGAAGCAGTCATTTGCTTCAAAGAGATATTAGCCAACTCATGGACCTGCCTCCCAAAGCACTTGCTTCACAGTGTCAATCAGCGGTTTGGAAGTAACAATACATCTGGCTCTTAAGACTTCTGCTATCAGTTACTTCTGTGAACAACCTCTGCATGGATGAGCAATTCTAAAAGATGTAATAATTTTACCAACCACGTGTGGCAGATGTGAGACTTGTATAAATATCTGCATTGTTGTTGGTAGTAGCTTGTTGGTTGTAAGTTGCATGTGAATGGCTTAGAGAGAACCTATTTTTGTGTAAAGATGTTTGCAATAAATGTATTTAATGCAAGTTGAAATGTATCAGTGCCTAAGCTAAGTTAAACCAGTAATGGTTTGTTCAACTTAATGCCACTCACTTCATTACGTGATGATAGAGTAGTTTTCCTATCCTAAATTACTTCAGTGTGTGTCAATGCAGGGAGAAACACTGTTTAAGGAGTTACCATTCAAGGATTTGTGGGTAGTTGCTGAATTTCTGGGTCTTAGTTTGGCAAATGCTAGAAGTATTTTCAGGCACTAATGTTCTTTGGGACACCATTAATAGGAAAGAACAATGACTCTTTAGCATTATTCAACATGATAGAGCAGTTTGTCTGTATTAGCATCTCACAGATAGGAATAAGACAGGTTCCTAACATGTTTGACCACATGAGTTTAAGGTTAGAGAAACTGCTATTTTAATTTAGTGCTGGGAATAGCTCACCAGCTTAAGGTTTAGAACTTTTAAAAAGTTTGAGTTGTTTAGACACACATGTAGAGGGATGGTGACTAAGTGTCATGTTGTGGGGTTATTTAAGAGCTGTAGGTGTGAGTGATAAGTAGACATTGTATTCTGTCTTAATCCTGTAGTGAGTGTGAAAATGCTTTAGTCAATCAGTAGTTAAGTGTCAAACTAGACCATGCATGTCTAGGAGTAGCCAAAAGCACAAACTGCCAGGTTGCCAGGAATGGCTTGATTATTAATGTCCTTCAGCAGCTTCCATATTCAGAGCTTCGTGCATATTGTGAAGCTGATGACTAACAGCTGCCAGGCTCTGTTCAGCTTCACTAGTTTAAAAACTACTGAAAGTACATTGTATGTGAGCAGCAACCAGCACTAAAGTCCTTCTGGCTCTGCCTTGTCTCCCAGGAATCAGGAGGCATAGGCCACCACTGATCCAGTGGAGGGGTTGAGAAACTAATAAATGGCTTGTGATTTAAATATTGGAACAAAGTGACTTCAGCACTCCACTTACTGTCTCATTTCTTTTCATAATACTAAACTGTAATTCAATTAGCTGTCTTATATACACTCCATTAGGGTGAATAGTATTGGGGCATTTTATTAGATCTGTGCTTTTTAAGCTACAGCTCACCATTCATCTGTTTTACTCTGGCCTTTGTTTTTTGTCTGCTCACAGGTAGAGTACATATAAGTCCAAATATAAAATCCCCACACTATGAGCGAAGTATTATACTATCTCCCATTCATTCATAATGTTGTCGTGCTCCCACAGCCAGTAAGTGACTGCAGCTGACTAGTCAGAAGCAAGACTTGGATTTATGTCCTTGAGGACTTTTCTTAGCAATGACAGATAGATTTGACTGTACAGGCTTTTGGTAAACATTATCTGTCTTCATTCCCAAACATGATACTGTTAAGTGGGAGCAGATTAATACAGTCAATGTCCTGACTAGAACAAGGGCTCCAAACAGGGTCGTATGTTTAAATCCCAGCCTTTGCCAAAGGAGAGCTGGAAAGACCAAGCAGCAGGACTTTGCTACAGCATAAGCTAGAGCAGGAAGTAATGAGAGAATGCACTGGGTCTGTGCCAGTCCTCACAGTATTAGAAAGAGGATCAGTCCAAAATCAGTCTTGCCTTTGACAACTAAGGCCAGTAGTACTTTACTTGTGCACTTTAGAGGAGTCACATGCTACATGTAATTTAAAGTCCATACAAATAGATCTAGGCCAGGGTCAGATGCAGGAAACAGTTCATCTCTGCCTCTTAAATTTAGTCCAACTGATTATAGCTATTTTACTTTATTAGCAAAATTTGAAGAGGTCCAGGTGGCAGGTTTGTCACTGTCCTCTTCTGAAGTAGTAGTGGCAGTTCAAACACGTATGCATGATTTATGACCAACGCTCACTTCTTTTTCATGTTCAGGAGCTTAGGTGCAGACACTTTCACTTTACCAGGAATATTTCTTGATAAATCAGTATCCTACAAAACAAAATCAAGGGTCAAAATCAAGTAGGAAGTGTTCAACAATCACTCCTTCCCAGCCTCCCAAGTCCTCTCTGAATACCAGCTGCAAAGTAGTAATGCCATATGAACCAGTGATAAGTGTGTCACTGTCACTACATTACAGCATCTCTCTGCCTGTTTCTCCAAAGAAAGTGGCCATGTGACAGTTCAGCAAATGATGGATGAAAATGCAGTGTGCTCAGACCTTCCCCTTCCCCTTGTTTTTAATGAATAAAGAACTACTAACACTTACTGCACCTCCCACTCATTCCATAGAAAACAATGGATCATCAGATCATATATATGCTCAACACTCCAGCTATCTAGCTGAACATAACTAGTTTGTTCAGTGGTATTCGATATAAATAGTTGTTAACAAGGAATCATCACAGGGGTGCATTCCTAATAAGATTCCACCACAACTTGTGGTAGGCCAGATTATTCAACATTGTTATCAGGGATCTAGAAGTAAATAAGATAACTGATAATACAATTTGCAGAATGGTAAGTGAGGACAGGGCAGTTAGTGTGATCTGGATCACTTGGGACATGTATTTTAATATAGCAAAATGCAAGGTCATACATCTAGGAACAAATAATGCAGGCCATGCAGACAGAATAGGAGACTTCGCTTGGAACGCAGTCACTCAGAAGAGGATTTAGGGATCACAGACAAACAACTGAACATGAGCCCCAGTGTGACTGCCAAAAGGGCAATGCGATCCCTAGCTATATAAACAAGGATAGCAAGCATCAGCAGGAAGGTGATTTTACCTCTGTACAGGGCATTGGTGAGACACTAGAATACTGTGTACAGTTTGGATGTTGAAAAATTGGAGACAATACATAGAAGAGCCACACAAATGATTTGTGGTCTGGAGCAAGTGCCTTACAGTGAGACTCTAAACTCAATCTGTAGTTTATCAAAAATAAGACTGAGAGGTGACTTGATGACAGTGTGTCTGTACCTTCATGTACAGAAAATACCCAGTTCTAAAGCATTCTTGAATCTAGCAGAGAAAGGCAGAAAAAGAACCAATGGCTGGAATCAGACAAATTCAAAACACAGCACAAAACTCTAACAGTGATTAACCACTGGAAAGGAAGTGGTGGATTCTCCAGCTCTTGCTGTCTTCAAATCAAGACTGGATGATTTTTGGAAGGTATACTTAGTCAAATACAAGTTATTGGGCTCAAGACAGGGGTAACTGAGTAAATCTTGCTGGCATGTGATGAGGGGGTTGGGACTAGATGATTTAATGGTCCCTTCTGGCCTTAAAAGTCTATTAATCTTCTATGCCAATAAGGAGAAACAAGGTGTGGGTGAGATATCTTTTGCTGGACCAACTTCTGTTGGAGAGAGAGACAAACTTTCCCAGAGCTCTTCCTCATGTCTGGGAAAGGTACTCAATGTCACAGCCAAATACAAGATTGAAGAGATAATTTAGCATAAGGAGTTAGTAATGCAAGGACAAAACTGAAAGCAATAGCCCTAAATGCTGCTTTCATTCTTGCTGTAGTACAGTTTGAACAAGCCAAGGAGATGGCTCTTTACCTTCACACTGCGAAATAAATCTTTTTCTCTTGCTGTAGCTTCTTTGTAATGCATGAAATTATGCAAAGCAGTCTTGGCAGCTGTAAAAAGTACATGAAAGAAGATGTTAAATGGCATGTGCCAGCTTCAAAAGCTGCTGGGTTGAAAAGGACTACTATGCTGTATACAGTACCTTTTCCTTTCTTCTGGGTGCCTGGAGTGAGCTTCACTTTGTATCTTTCAAAAGAACAAGAAAAATCACACCATTTACACAGGTGTTAAGTAACTAACTCAACGTGCTGCTAATCTGTCAAATTAAAGTTACTTCTTCAGATAAATCGCTGCAACTTACTTATAGTTTGTCATGGTAGTGTAAGGTGCACATATTGGTATAGCAAAGAGGAGGATATCCTCCAAGTGAGGCTGGCCTGTCAAAGAATTTAGCAGTCTCTCTCCTTCCTAAAATAGCAAAGACAATCCTTGTGAAACTAGAAAACAACATTTAAACAAAAAGCAACAATTAAAGCAATAAAAATAAACCCATCTTTCACTACCGAAGAGGTTGGAATTTGGTCCTTCTCCCTCACAGCCCAAGTGCAGAGAAGTCATAATCCCCATGCGTATATCATACCATAATCTGTTGTCACAGTATTACTGAAATGTACTCAGTGTATCAAGAGATGATGGGCTATTGGAGAAACCCTAGTTTAAAAAAAATCTGATAAGTAAAATCTGAAGGTCCAAGGTTACATGGCTTTTAGTTTTAAATGAGGTAAAGGGGAGTTTCCAAATTTGGTTTATATTTTAGCATAGTCAATTAAGACTTGTTATTACATAAAGAAAGTACATACTTTTCCTCTTATTAAAGAGTCCAGTAAACAATTTTGTAAAGTAAACGAACTTTTAGTCTAAAGAACTATTTTCATCACAGTTAGATTTTATTGTGTCAGCCTATAGGGGATATGAGATCATCCACTATTCTGAGGTCTTGATGGAGTTAATCAGGTGAAGACAAAGGGAAAACTACTTAATGGGTTTGTCAAATCCTTGTTATTTTAACCAAGTTTTGTTGGAACTTGTGTATTTATTACCTTAATACTATGCACTAATACAGCCATACAACTGAGAGACTAGGAAGGTCACATTGAAGCTCTCCACTAGAAAAACATTAACTGATTTGATCCTTATAATAAAGAAACATTAATACCTGGATTGACAATTCACATCCTAACTGTGACTGAAAAAGCCAAGTTATAATGCAGTGATGATACGTCTGAACTCATGGGGTCTGTACCAAAGTCACAATCAATAAACCTCAGTTGTCATTACGCATAGTGACTAGCACCCTTCTGGAAGGCCAAGTGCTTCACCTTTGTGACATGCCCAATCTCCTCCAAGTTAGGAATTGTAAACCTCACTGACACTCCTCAAACTGGGTTAGCAGATAGGACCTTGGGGTCCAGGCCATTGGCAGTGTTGAGCAGAGATACTTTTAAAAACTTTTTCTAAGCACTTTTATTCTAGCACTTTATTAGAAGTGTGAAGGTGATAAAATTTACCTCATTTTCCTGTTGATCTTGATCCTGTTCCTCCTGCACCACAGATGTAAATAAAGGAAACATTAAGACTTGTAGAACATCAGAATACTTCTCCCAGAAAGGTCACATTCCCAGCAAATAGAAAGTCATGTGTGGGTACAGTCTCCTCAATGCGTATGGAACACCATTTTAAGGGAGAGCTAAGTTAAGTATGTTTGGTACTGCTGCATTTTTATATAGGGTTTTTCTTTCTATCCCCAAACTTCCTTGGCACATGCAAAGGTGGAAGGAGACAGATTTGGGTGGAAATATTGAAATTCAAGCTGCCAATCTACAAAACCCTTTATTGTTTTTTAACTGCACAATTGGTACAATATGACATTAAGAGATCCTCAACACAGCTGGGCCACACACCGTCCCCCTCAGACTTCTAGTTTTGGCGGGTCTGTGCTCCAGTGAAGGCCAGGGAGCACTCTCCTAGTTTCTTGGGTTGGTGCCTCTTACAACTATTAAAAATTAGTCCTGACATTATATACACTGTTCTCAAAAAACACTGATCTAAATAAAGTGGCAACTACACAAACGCAGTAGAGTAAGCAGTTCTGCAAGCACTACACAGACTCAGTTTAATATTTCTAGTACAATAAAGTAATGATTTAACAGCCTGAGCAGCAAGATGCTGCAAAGTGTGGGGAATGAAACGGGTCTACAGTGTTTACCTTCTCCTCCTGCTGATCTTCCAGAGCCATGTCCTGGAACTCATGTGTTAGTACTTCTACCGGGGGGGTTTCTTCTTTACGACCTGCATCAACCTGATGGCCACCCTTTGGTTTCTGGGCTTGTTTCTTTACTGATTCTTCTTTTATTTTTCCTTTTTTACCTTTCTTCACTTTTTCTTCTTTGCTTGACCCTGCAGACTAGATTTCACATATGAAAATGATTTAAACCTACACCCATGCACAGACCAAACAATTCAAAGGAAAAGCCATAGTTATTTTGGCTTACACCCAATAGCTTCATTATGAGCTCTCTATCTTCTTCATCCTGGTCCTTGTACTTCTCTTTCATTTTTTTCATTTTACTCTGCAGAGAAGAAAAATGGGGGTTAATAGTTTAGCAAATAATAAAAAGGAATTTCTGCAAATATCGACATAGAGCTCAATTCTTCACTGGCATATGGTCTCTCTCTGTTCTTTTTAGTTTAAGCACTGTGTTAACCCAACAGATGTCATTTCTATTCAGAGAAATAAAAAGTGCTGAATGTTAGTCAATCAACAATTGTTATTAAACACAGACAACTATTCAAGTGAGTCTAAATTTGTCAGATGCCTGGAGATGTTCGAATATGCAAATTGGAATATTGGGCAAATGCAAAAAAAAATTAAACATATGATATGTGTCTTTAAGAGGGCCCTTTTCATTGGGTAAATCTAATCAATTCTGCAGCTTCATCCATTCTACCTTCTGTCCTCGTTTCATGGGCTGAGGGGCTGACATGCTCTTGTTTGAAACAGGAGAAGATGGGGGCTGCGTGCTGGTCTCTCTTTCCTTTCCTTCAGGTAGTTCTAAATCCTCTATATCATGTTGCTGCTTCTTTTTCTTGATTTCCCTACGAGAAAAATAATCATTGGGATATGCCCTCCTACAGGGTTCTGTGGTATGAAACGACAATGATCTTACGTTAACATAGCACCTGTCTTCCCAAAGGATACATCTCTACAAGTTCAGTCAATAGACCAATTAAGAACAAGAACACGGGAAAATAAGTCACATCTATAATAAAAGATTCAAAATTTAAACATAGAAGCCAATGATGAAGTGATTCAACACCACATGAGAAACTGCTGACTTGCCACTACTGGTCCCGGAAGATACACACTGGGATACAAGGCTACTTCTGGGTCTGTGTTCCCAGAGGAGGCCAAGGTAGGAACTCGCCAAGCTCAAAGCTCTTGGTTTCCCCTCCCCCCGGACCACGGAACTGCAGGCAGCCCTGCTGCTTCAGCCAGTGTCTTTCATTTTTATCAAAATAAGTAATGTTTTGTCCAAAAAAAAATACAGAACTCTTCTTTCTGAGGGGAGGCCCATCTTTCCCCAGAGAACAGAATCCACTAAGCAGTGAGCACCTCCTGGCACATTGGAAAGCTGGCACCTGTAGCTCCAGCCTCGGAGCCGGTGCCTATACAAGGAGCCGCATATTAATTTCTGAAGAGCCACAGGTTGGCCACCCCTGACCTAAAGGTTCCTGGTTCAAGCCTTGGCTTTGACAAGTGTAACCAGAGTGAAAGGGAGGATGCCTAGAAGAAGACATGGTCAGATTAGTTGATGTCAACGTGGGTCAGGCAGCCACCTAGCTGGAAACTGGGAAGCTCTTTAAGCAACCACATCCAGAAAGGAAATTGGTGCCCCTTTGGCTCCAACTCCTATGTTCCACCTCAAGGGCTGGCAAGAGAGGCTGCTGGGCTTAGAACTGAGTTTGGATTCAGTTCCTGCCTTGTTCGCACACAGAAGCATGGGACCATTACCACAGCATCTTTGGGGGAAATAGTATTCTGTGGCATAGAAACCTCAACTAGATCACAAGCCCCTACAAATACATTTCCACAGTGCATAAGCTATCTTTTATATTCTGAACCAGACCTTTGAAATTACCCAGTATCCCAACAAAAAAATCCAATTCTTCCAGCTAATAAAAACCAGCTCCTTTGTGGTCACAGTGTCTGTTATATCCATATCGTTAATTTCAAGTGGCAAGAAACACACTGCAAGTGACTTCCTCAGAAAAGGTTAACTCCTCCTTAAGAAACGAGGACTTTCATACATGGAGATATTTAGATCTTTCCTCCCCTAAAACGAAGACATTCTTACCTTCTCTCCTTGGCTGACAAGTGTCTTCGCCCATGTGACTTACTGTCACTCTAAAAATGTGAAAGAAAGTTATAGTTCATTATTTCCACTCATAAAAATCACACGCTGTGCTACTTGTTTGAAGAGCTTATCAGGGAGCTTACCAGGTTAGATGCTTCCTCTTTTGTAACCATTTTCTGGTGGGATCTGTGAAGACTGAAAGGTGCAGCATGTCGTTAGAGAAATAACAGTCTGATAACACAGTCCTGACAAAGGAGCTGCTGCCACAACTGGGACAAACTAATTCAGACTTGTCTATTGGGCATCACGTCCAGGAAAGATCATTTCCTTTTCTGAACAGGTAAGTGGCGTCGGCACTATGTTGCAGCTGGGGGATTATAAATAAGTGTGCTTTTGCACACCACCCCAATGTACCCTCTATAATGGGTAATGAAGTCTCTTGGTTTAGTGACCAGACACATTTAACCTAGCATTAAATCCAAATCTCTTGAGTTTGGATTTTCAAAGCAGCCTAAGGAAACTGAGTGCCTCTGAAAGCTTCACTGAAAGCCCCAGCTTTGATAAATGAAATAAGTGCCAGAGAAACTGTGAAGCAGGCTCTCAGAGATCTTCCCCAGTTAGGTCTTTATTGCACATACTCAAATCCCCCACACACAAAGCATTGTTTTTACAGCTGTAATACCTATTAAATAAACCCCAACTGAATGAATTGGAAACTGAAGTCCGATTGCTTGGGAGGACGGGTTGCAGTTTTCCCCGACTCACCCCTAAGTGCCTCAATGTCTAGGGTGAGAGCAGTTCATTCTTATGCCCATTCATTTCTTGCCCGTGAAGCTGCTAAGTAGCGAGGACAGGGGGTAAGTGGTAGGAAGATTAGCCACTGGCATGAATTGGAGATCACCATCTCATTTCAGGTGGCAATAATTTTCAGTCACTACCATCTTGAATAAGAACAGAAGTGATCTTAGGCTTCCCATTTCCTAGGTCCTGGTAGACCACTTGAATGGAAGAAGGTTGGTCTCCCCGAGGAGGAAAAATTGTAAAATGCCCTGTGCTTGAAGCGCCCCTAGCAGCCAATATATCTTGATTTTTTATAGAGTCCCACATGGCATTCTCATAAGCAAACTAGGGAAATGTGGTCTAGATGAAGTTACTATAAGGTGGGTGCACAACTGGTTGAAAGACTGTACTCAGAGAGCAGTGATCAATGGTTTACTGTCAAACTGGGCGGATGTATCTAGTGGGGTCCCGCAGAGGTCAGTCTTGGGTCTGGTACTATTCACTATCTTCATTAATGACTTGAATAACAAGTGAGAGTATGCTTATTACATTTGCAGATGATGCCAAGCTGGGAGGGGTTGCAAGCACTTTGGAGGACAGGATTAGAATTCAAAATGACCTCAGCAAATTGAAGAATTGGGCTGAATTCAACAAGATGAAATTCAATAAAGATAAGTGAAGTACTCTGCACTTAGGAAGGAAAAATCAAATACACAACTACAAAATGGGGAATAACTAGTTAGGCGGTAGTGCTGCTGAAACGGATCTGGGGGCTATCGTAGATCACAAATTGAATGAGAGTCCACAACGTGATGCAGTTGCAAAAATGGCTAATTTCATTCTGGGGGTGTATTAACAGGAGTGTTGTATGTAAGACACAGGAAGTAACTGTCCCACTCCACTCGGCACTAGTGAGGCCTCAGCTGGAGTACTGTGTCCATTGCTGGGCCCCACGGTTTAGGGAAGATGTGGACAAATTGGAGAGACTCTAGAGGAGAGCAACAAAAACAATACAAGGTTTAGAAAACTTGACCTATGAGGAAAGGTTAAAAAAACCTGGGCATGTTTAGTCTTGAGAAAATAAGATTGAGGAGGGACCTGGTAAGTCTTCAAGTATGTTAAGGGCTGTTGTAAAGAGGACTGTGATCAGTTGTTCTCCATGTTCACTGAAGATAGGAGAAGTAGTAATGGGCTTAATCTGCAACAAGGGAGATTTAGGTTAAATAGTAGGAAAAACTTTCTAACTCTAAGGGTAGTTAAGCTCTGGAACAGGCTTCCAAGGGAGGTCACGGAATTCCCATTGTTGAGATTTTTAAGAACCAGTTGGACAAACACCTGTCAGCGATGGTCTAGGTTTACTTGGGTCCCGCCTCAGGGAAGGGGGCTGGACTTGATGACTTCAAGGTTCCATCCAGCCCTACATTTCTATGTTTCTATAATAGCATTGGCAATGGCCAGAATACCACATATGCCCCAGCCAGAGAATGCATTAGTGCAGTGGTTGCTACAGTCAGGAGAAGGGGGAACAGGATAACCCAAAATGAAGAACTGTGTACCTGTGTAGAGAAGACCATCTAGGAAGGGTGGGGCAGCACTACCAAACATGTATACATTTGTTTTACTTGTTATTCAGGCAGCCTGCACCTTTGAACACTAGGATTAGTCTCATGTACTCACTGCAATCCCTCTTATCACATAGTTTTAAAGCACTGACATTCTTAGAATGGCTCATATTGCTGACAAATGTGGAGGCTCTTTTGGTTACCTTTGTGGCTGAAGATGTGACAGGTCGATTGCAGTGTCTGGATAATTTATCTCCTCCTCCTTCACTTCACTCATCAGCTCCTGACCTTCAGCCTCTTCTTCAGATTCTATATCATCATCTTCAGAGGTTTCCTCTTGTGCTGGTGGCTTGTTTATTCCATCCTTGTCTGCGTGAGCAACATCCTCCTCGAGGTTACTGTCAGCCCTGACTTCAATACCATCAGGCATTTCTTGAGGCAGTGCCTTCTCATCATCAGTGCTGCTATCATCTCCTTCTGGTGCTTCTTCTAAATGAGTTAGGGGAAAAGACATTTCAATGTAAAGACACTTGACTAACACATTATTAATTCAGGGAGCTGAATGCACATCCCAATGTATTTTTAAGAGTTCCCAGTGTGCCCACAGTAAAATATATTAAACCCTGCATAATACCTAGTAGCTCCACTTCTTCTGACACCAGTTCATTGGTACTACTGGTCACAGACTCCATATCCTCATCCTGCATTTTGACCTTTCGCTCGTCTCTGTGTCTCCAAACACAAGATTCTTCCACCTAAATGACAGAAACAGCTCCTTTTTATTGAGCAAAAGGATTTCCAAGGAAACTGGCTTATACCAAACCCAATGAGAAACTGTAGTGAATGATCACCCTACTGATTCTTAGGAGCCCAACACCAATATTCATCATGGGCTCCATTCACCTACTGTTAAAGTCAATGGAAAGAATCTCATTGATTTCTGTGAGGACTGGATCTGGCCAAGAAATTGAAAATGACTATATTAATGCAAGCTCTTGTGTGGAAACCATTTGGCAAATCTTAGTGTCCCTTGTTTGTCTTGACATCATCTTCCTGTTTTTTCAGCATGCCCTTCAATCTCATTCCTCTCCAGAAACAACTTCTTCCTGTCCCTTGAACTCATCTACACATTCCTGAAACTGCCTTCCCTGGTGATTAATACCAGACCTTTACTACCCTTTACATACAGTAACTGTCTTGCCTACTTCAATTTCTTTTCCTTATTTTTAGGTAAAGACTCCTAAGTTTTTGAGCTCCTTTACCAGGGGAGAGGCAAAGGGGGAAAAAAGTGTCAATTATCGAAACCTAATTTTGAAAGCATGTCCCTAAAAGATGAAGGCTAGTGGGAGCCCACTGTAGCTAGTCACACACCCATCCGACTGCACACAAAAAGGGAGCTTCAAGAACTCCTGCTGACACTTTAAACACTTGTTATTAAAAAAAATATCTGGAGGCGCGGTGCTCACAGGGTTGGTTTGTTCTAAATAAATAATTAAAACAACAGGAATCCCACTCCAAGGGGGAAAATATTGAAAGAGTGGCAGCTTCTTTGGTAAGCGTAGCCCATTGTACCCAGTTGGTTTCTTCAGTTGGCTGTTTCTGAGCTGCATGCCCCCCCCCATGAATGAGATTAAAGGTTTCTCTTCCATTCAGAGCAAACAGAATGATAGTGACCTACTGGAAGGGAAGGTGCTTATGGGAATTGAGGATTGTTGTGAACGATTACAGTTTTATGTTCATGTAAGAAAAAAGAAGACAAATGTAACCAATGAATGGGACAGTACCTTAAATAAGAAGCTAAATCCCATCATAAGATATGAAGGTGGAAGAAAGTTTTTTTTCCCTGGGGGGGAAAAAAGGAAAACATAAGGTGGTTTAAATATATAAACATTTTTTGCCAACTTCTTGCAGTGATCCTTGTCACTGTAGAAGATACAGACTTTCCAGACAATTGTGGTTTACTCTTCAAGTTCTCACCTCTTATCATGAAGCTTCCTGTAGTCAGATATTCTCCAGTTGGTGCTGTTTTAGACACCTAAGAAAAGTACCACATATCATATACTTAATAAAGTACCGTAGAAAACTGTGCCTCACTGAGTAATAACAGTAATAAAAATGAGCATTTAAGATAACTGTGTTTCTGATTTCTAAGAACAGCTTTGTAACTTCACAAAGTGAAGAGTATTATAGGGAGGATTGCTGAGGAACAACCTCCCATCACCTGAAGCCTTTAAATCATCACTGGATGTCTTTCTAGTCTGTCTGCTCTAGTTCAACCATACGTTACTGGGCTCAATGTCGAAATCACTGGATAACATTTTATAAACTGGGTTATGCAGGGGGATCAGATCTGAGCATAACAGTCGCCTCTGGCCTTAAAAATCTATGAATCTGAGGGCTTGTTTTCACTACCACGGTTAAGATACGCTACTCCAGCTACGTGACTAACATAGCTGGAGTTGATGTAGCTTAGCTTAGGTTGACTTATCCCGGTGTCTTCACTGCACTGCGTTGACGGGAGACACTCTCTGGTCGATTTACCTTAATCTTCTTGAGGAGCTGGAGTACAGGGATCGACCGGAGAGCGCTCTGCCATCAATTTAACAGGTCTTCACTAGACCCGCTAAATCGACACCGGTAGCAGTGTTGATCTCCCCAGTAGTGAAGACAAGCCCTCAGTTTCTCCCCAGAGCTGACTTAAGTGGGCTCTGCAATGGAAGACTCCCATTCCACTGCTCCCAGAGCAACACTGGTGCTCTGCTTGCAGGAGGTTCCTTTGAGACCAGCCTTCTTTGCCAGAGGGAAAGTCCTTAATCAGTCTTGAGATTAAAGGTTCAAAGCAAAGCAGAAAGAAATTGTTTTCCCGGTAGGGAAGCAATGAGAGATTCCAACAACTTTTTGGGAACCAGTCTTTCGCTGTTAGGGCCCAAGACAGCAACCAAAACCACACACAGATACTTAAGTAGAGATACAACAAATATCTACATGAGCTAGCCTCAGTTACAATACAGTGCCATGAAGAAAGAACATACTGGAAAGGGTAAACCACAGCAAGCTTGGTGAAATTATGTCAAGTGACTGACTCTAGAAAACAGATCCGCTTTTCATGTTGCCTGCCCATTCTAATGTTCTAGGTGTTTTACAACAAAAACAAACCAACCCTTATTTAATACGTGAGTTAAAGTTCTAACAGAAAATTAAAAACTGATTACACTTTTTAAAAATCATTCCCAAACAATATGACCTGGTGCTGGGGGTACCACACCCTTTGAGGAAACCTGCTGGAGCCCTTGCAGTCCTACCACACCCCGCTCCAGAAAAGGCACAAAGGTAGGTCCTCCAGGCCTGCGCTGAAAGGCTGCAGGGGAGCAGCCAATCAGACCCTAGCAGGCTCAGTTAAAAAGAGCAGCAGGGCCACCTGAGCAAGTCAGTTCCTGACTGGGACTGAAAGGGATAAGACAGACTCTCCAGGCAAGGAGGCCTGGGCGAGACCCTGCGCAAACAGGGAACAAGAAAGTAGAACCCAAGGACTATAACCTAAGGTAATGAGTGAAGGTGATGAGACCGAGTGGGAAGCCATCCAGGAATAGCAGCAGCAACCAAGTAGAGGAAACAGTATGTGGCTGCTGTCTCTAGGGTCCCTGGGTTGGGACCTGGAATAGTGGGTGGGCCCGGGTTCCCCCACCAGCCACAGGAGAAATGGCTTAAGCCTCAAGGAGGGGATAAGACTCTGCATTAAAAGCCCAAGAAAGGGGCTGGGAGTTTAAACAGGATCAGGGATGGGGCTGAAGACCCTGAAGAGGGCCAACCATTCTTTCAACTTTGTTACCCCCAGAAGGGGACTGAAGTTAAGGAGTAAATTGGCTGGAGAGCTGGGATGCTAGAGAACTGCTGATGACAAAGTCTCCAGGGAAAATGCCTGGGCAGGGACAGACTGAAAGCTAGCCCAGAAGGGGCTGAGAACTGAGCCCAAAGGCGGGGCCACAGATACCAACATGGGCACAGTGATAGTCCGTGTTGGAACTTTGTCACCCGGAAGAGATTCTCTCATGCATTTAGACTATGGCTATGTCTACACTACAGCTTATGTTGGCATAACTTAGATCTCCCAGGGGGGTGAATAAATCACCCGCCTGAGAGAGACAAGTTACGCCAACATAAGCGCTGGCGTGGACAGCACTATATCAGCAGAAGAGCTTCTCCCACGACATAGCTACTGCCACTCGTGGAAGCTGAAGTAGTTAAGACGACAGGAGAACGCTCTCCTGTTGGCTTAGAGCAGCTACACCAGTGCAGCTGCACCACGATAAACTCTGTAGGTGGCCATGCCCTATGTGTGACTTAGCCAGAGGGCTGAGCCACTGAAGACCCACCTGATGAGGGCAACAGCCGACGGGCACCGTGAGCTGAGTGTGTGCAGGTTTGCACCCAGCCCACCGGAGGCGCTCACAAGAGAGGAGTGCAGCGCATCACAGACCTTTAACCTCTTTTTAAAAGATGCCGAACCCACAGCATTTCTTGGGTCATGGGCCCATTATACCAAAGATTCACAATCCAAGGCCACTGTGGTAGAGCCACGGAAAACTTGTAAGGACCATCACATATTATACACAATTGTGTTTCTTTTAGTCTTTAATTTCATCTGTGGTGACATTTACATCTACAGTTCCGCACTCATTCTTTCAGAGATTAACTTCTCAAAACTAACAAGCAAGATCTCATTACCTGGTGATGATAGACCCACCAAGCACTAGTGATGATACGAGCATCCCAGGCAGCGCTGTAACATAATGCCATGGTGCCTGCCTCAGTCAGGGTACGGGGAGGGATCGGCTCACCTGTAATGGCAACACCACAACATTTGGGTTATCTGAGCACACGTTTAAAAAGTAACCAGACATTGTAAAAAAGGATCTCAGAGTGGGGATCTACAGAGGCAGTTCCTGAAAGCAATTTTCCTGCACAAAAAAGTACTGTGCTATTATGGCTTTATCACTGGGTTGCACATTAATAAGGAATGGATTCAGACGAAAACCTGTCAACCCAAAATCTGAAGTGAAATGGAGAGTGGACAAAGATGTAGCAGTACATTTTTACTAAAGTCAGTTTTATTTCAAATTGTTTGTTTTTAATAGATTATAAATCAGCGTCAACCACAGATGAATTACCTGTAGGATTCTTGATTACACAGCTAGTTGCACCATGTAGGTCAGCGTGCACATATATATCTCCTAGAACAGGAGAGAGAAGATTGGGACACGTCATTGAGCACACTTAGTTGCTGCACCGATCATTAAGAGAGGGTTCCAAGCTTTAATTAGAAACTGATTTACTTGGATCACTGCCAAAACATTCACATATTCAGGGAAAGTAATTATGTCTACTTGTCAATTATACCCCATACTAGTCATTATTTATTCTGACATCAATATCATGGTGAACTAAGACCTTTGGTATGCTAATATATTGCAGTACTTCTGAATTCTGTATTGTGCTGTAGAACAGGAGTTCTCAATTTTTTTCTTTCTGAGGGCCCCCCCGCAACATCCTATAAAAACTCCACAGCCCATGTGTGCCACAACAACTGTTTTTCTGCATATAAATGGCAGGACCCAGTGTTAGGGGGTATCAAGTAGGGTAAGTGCCTGGGGCCCCACGTCACAGGGGGCCCTATGAAACAAAGTTGCTCAGGCTTCAGCACGCAGTGGCTGGTCTCAGGGCCCCAGGCAGCTGATCTCAGGGCCCCAGGCTTCAAGCCCATGAAGTGGGGCTTCAGCTTTCTGCCCTGGGCCCCAACAAGTCTAATGCCAACCCTGCTTGGCAGCACCCCAAAATCCACTCGCAGCCCCCCAAAGGGTCCGGGACCCTTAGTTGAGAAGCACTGCTGTAGGAAAATACTAGCTATAACTTATGTCCATGACTTATGCTCCTCCATGTGGAACGATGTACAACTGCAAAAGGTAAAGTCTGTTAGTTTGCTTTTTAACTCAGTTCAGGCAATTTCAAAACTATTGGGTGAAGAAGCTGCATTCCATATCACACCTCACACATGGACATAATTATAAAGCTCCAAAGAACTTCAGTCTGAAATTCCAGACAATGTAGAAAAATGAGAATGCATACAAGCAAGCTGAATTTTATACACAAGCTAATAAAGATCTAACAGTGTTCCACAGTTTTGGATGTACAATACAAGCATTTATAACAATCAGCAAAGAAAACAAAAACTATGCTGACATGCTTGATTTAATCTTACTAACCTGATTTCAAATATCGCTTCACAATCATTTCATTCTGCTGTTGATCTCTTCCAGCTATAATGAGGTAATTTTCAGAGCTAATAAACCACAGGAACTTCTCAAACCTGTCAAATTACATCAAACCACGCTGTGTAAAATAACTGGAACTGTTTGCCTATTACAGAAGGTATGTTTTTGCCAGGGTCTCAGTACTTTAATGTATTATAGGTGGAAAGACAGGTATTCTCAAAGATATTTCATTTTGTTGACCAGCTACAGTTTCATACATATGTATATGGCATAAATTCAAGGTATTGTACAAATGTAATTGTGCTGTCAATCATATTCTTTAAAAGGACACATCAAGCAAATTACAGTCTTTTTTTTTTTTTTTTAACTATAATTGCTACTTTTAAAACAGCTGTTTATAAAAAGGGAGAAAGTATTTCTTTTATTTTCCATGTTTACTCTGTGAGCACTTGATATAACTTTGTCTACAGTCAGTCTCCCCAGTTGTTTGTGTGGATCTTTTATATAACAGAGAAGAGAAAATGTTTAAAATTTTAGGAAAACACGGCCCCAATCCCACAAGAGGATCCACACAGGCAAATCCGCATACCCATGCAGAGCAGTCTTGAAGGGGCCCACCTGTGTGGATCTACCGGCAGGACTGGGGCTTATAACTAAAATCACAACAACTGACAAGGGACGTAGGGGTGGGTGTAGTACCAAAACACTACTTTTAACTCTTTTTAGAAAAAAAAAAAACAATTAGATTTCATGTCAACAACGTCCTTTAAGCTTGCACAGAATCACACTGTGAGGGTAACTATCTAAAGTTTACTTGCCAATAAACTTTTCTTGCTTTCTGAATGGTGGTAACTGTTTGAACTTCTTTCAATGTTTGCTTTGTCTTCTTTTCTGCTGATTTGAATGCCTGTTTAGGAAATATGGACATTCCCAATTCTACAAATGCAGTAATCATACAAGCAATAACCAAACAATAAGACAATATGAAGAAAAATACTCCCAAAACGTAGTTTGAGACAGTACAGCCACTCATTTGGCACATATTCAATTTGCAGGCCTAAAAACCATTTCTGCCCAAAATTAGAGGCACGTCATTAAATGCAGTCTTAAAATCTTCATAATTTTGAAAAGGCATGTCTCCATTATCCTGTCATGTAGTTTCTCTAAAATGTGTGCTCTGAAAACAACATCAGCTACCTGATCATAATGGTTCCTGTTAATGCTGCCTCAGCTACTGGTCTGTCAGCATTTCCATTATAAACGCTTTTAAGTAGTTCAAAAGTAAATGATTCAAGGTTGTGACTTGTCAGCCCTACATGTAGGTTAAATTGTTTTGGCAAGCTTGATGGGAGGAGGCTGAAACATTAAATCAGCATAACTGTATTATTCTTAACACAAAAAGGTACATTTGAAAGTTTGGTTTTAGGCTGTAGCAATAAAACAACATCTTTGCTTTTAACTAAATTCAAAACAAACCATAAATACCTTCTCTGCAGCTTCTACTGTCTTCTGTGTTTTTTTGGCAGCATGTCTCTTATGATCATAATATCTGTGAAACACAAATCTATTTACATCTCAGATCCCAGCATATTAATTCATTTTTATAGTTATTTCTTCCCACGGTACTTCATGCCAGCAGTAAATACTCCATTCTGATAATGAAAATGTTTTGTTTGGCTTAGCTTTTTTGCTTATTGCTTGTCACTGTTCATCTGAAAATTGTATCAGTTGAAATTAAGTTACTAATTTATTATCCTCACTCGAAATGTAGAGCCCTGCCTTTATATTTGCTTTGCAGAGAAAATAGCCATTATGTCCTGGGTTTGTTTCTATGCTTGATGTAATTAACATTAAATTAAAATGGTTGTCAGAGACTGGTTAACACAGAAATGGCAAGACAGCATTCTGGGGCAGAGGAATGGACAGTCTATAACTAAGGTAAGGCCACACATGCTAAATATTTCTGTAGGAAAAAGACTAATTTTTTTGATAGTAGCAGAGTCTACTGAAATTAAGCTGATAAGGAGCAGACTACTAAAAAACACACACATTTTAAATCTTACTTTTTAGCATTGGCATATGCAGACAAACTGAGATCAACATCAACCAACAATGGCTTGTTTTTCTGAGGTTTCGTCAGCTGTTTATTCTTATGCTTTTTCTTCTTCCCCTTTGGTTCTTCAATTTCTTTCCAATGATCAGCTTCGTCATCTTCCTCCTCCTCCTCCTCTGATAATACATACGGGTTTCTACCAAAATATAAAAGTATATTGATTGTCTTTAAAAGTACTCCAGACTTTTTATTGTAAAAGTTAGCAAGATGCATTCCTCCTTCCATTAATTTTGTAAATAATATTACAAAAGATACACATTCTTTTTTTCAATCTGAAGAAGGCTCTATGGGTATGAATAAAGATAAATGTGTAATTATAACAGTTTTGATTATGCACTTTCAGACAGAAGGAGGAGGAGAACAAAGATAGGACATTTTACCCTTCATCTTTGTGCAAAATGAAGAGTAGATTGTGGCTCATTATGTTTAATCAAAGCAAATGCAAGATAGGTAATGGTCTGAGATTTTGTGAAATATCTGATCCATTATTATGAAGCTATTCTGAGCATGTATTACTTTGAGTTGCCTTTGCTACTCATCAACAGAGTGAACTCTGCCTTCTACTGCGATGTTTGGCATGTGTAGCCTTAAGGAGGTAGAGGCGCATACAGCATTATAATGTTTTCTCTGCATCACACAGCAAAGTATACTATTGTTTCCATTATCATCTGTAGATTCAACTATCTTTAGATGATGTGTATGGTTAGCTGTGACCTTAATTCAGATTGTGAAATAAACTGAAATACCAGAGAGACTGACAGATTCCAAGGCCAGAAGGGACCATTGTGATCATCTAGTCCAGTGGTACCCAAACTTTTCCTCTTGCACCATCCCTAACCAGTAATGGAATGTGTGCAAGCCCCCCGTGCCCCTGGGCCAGGAGCGGAATCGTGGCCAACCTAGGGGCCAGGGCCGAGGAGTGGAGCTGTGGCTGGGAGCCAAGAGTAGGGACCGGAGGTGGAAAGGGGTCTGAACCACGTCCGGGAGCTGGAGTGCGGCCGGAGCTGAACTGGAGGCAAAGTGGGTCTGGGTGGTGCTCCCTCCTCACCGCCCCACAGGGGCTGGCCCAAGCCCCACTGCGCCCCTCTCCCCCACGGACGTTCCTTCACACACCCCACAGTTTGGGGACCACTGATCTAGTCTGACCTCCTGCATAACATAGACCATAGAATTTCCTCAAAATAACACAGGAAGCAAATTGTGACAGTGAGCAGAAGCAAGATTATTTCAGCCCCACATTCTGCTCAGAAGCTGGAATATATATCTGGAAACCCATATATTCACTTTTTGCTTATCAGTACAGTTCTCATATCCTTCTTTTCCATACTGACTTAAGATATTTTCCACTATCAGTTTTTTACTCTCTACTAGGCTTCCTGATAGGGGTTCTCTATATATCAGCTCAAACGAAGATCTCTTATATTTGGTTTTAGGATCATGGGATTTCCAGTACATTTACACAGTTAAATATATTTCTAGTTTGCTTCTGATACCTGCAGGACACTTTTGTTTTGTACCTCATTTAGTTTTTTTATTTTTAAGTGTCCTCAAGGGCAAGGCACTGATCCAATCTCAAGCTTCTTGTGATGATTTTCCTGCAGGGAGCAGAATGATCTAAATCACAGCTCATACCAGTTTGAATTTTGACCTCTAACTTGTTTACTGGGCCATCTTGTCCAGCCAGCCTGTAGCATGCTAAACTTCCAGCTAGATTCCCCTTTTTTGGCATCAAGGAATGTCAAGATTCTCTAAGTTACTGATTTTTTTAAATGCATTTGTTTTGCATAATATGCTTGGTGTTGCCTGTTGCATCAAACCAAATGAGAGGCATGTTTCCCGGAATTGCCTAGGACGTGCAGGTAAAAGTGCTTTTGCTCACTACTACCCTTTCCTCTTAGACATTTCCCACCACTTTCTAAATATGATCAGTTAGCTCTTGCTTTTATATGCTTGAAGAGTTTATTTCAGTTACTGAACTAAAGGAAAACCAAGAAAGAAAGGTGCATATTGAATCAGTGCCTCTCTGTCTGTTCACAAAGCCCTCACACTCACGCTTTAATGCTGCTATAACCCAGCACCATGAGTACATTTGACATCTATTAACTGACAAAATAATGTAAACTCAAATGAAGATGCTCTTTTCCTAGTTAACTTGCTAGTTGTGGGATTAGTCCCTCTTAATGTCTTGTTCATCTACAACATACTTACTTTAGTAGCATTGTGATATGATTTGTCTGAAGCTTTAATTCTCTGATTGCACTCGCAACAGGGTCTCCCTGAGCCTGAGCTTCTTTTACAATTGCTCCAATTTCAGTCCAGTCTATCTGGTTGGCTAACGCACTGCGAACCACCTGGATAGCTCGGTCAACTATGTCCAGGTTCATTTCTACGAGTTCTCCTTTTACCTTATCAATTTCCTTCAGGAAAGAAAAAGCTTTCTTACAATTCAGACTAAAAACCAATTCAATTTTATAAAAATGATGATTAAAGAAACAAATCCATACAATTAATACAGCTGCACTAAAATTAAACACCACATTGTTCAAAAGGCGACCTCTTGCAAGGGCGTGCAAAGCATTGACAAGAAGCAGTGTATCACTACTGCAGTTCACACTTCACCAAAACGGGAGAGAAGCTAGGGGGAACTTGTTAGTGAAAAAATACTCCAATTTGTTATCTCAAGTGAACACTAAGGAACACAACTTATGGTGGAGGTGATACTGCAGGGAATATTAAAAATATTTTGTCTTTAAAACTTGTCTTATGAAAACACGTAGTTCTACCTGAGCTTGATGAAGAGATTCTAGTCTATGCTCATGATCTTTACGAACGTTTTCCAGCTTCTTCAGTGCTTGTTTTTCCTTTCAACAGCCAAAGAGAAGAAAGGAAAAATATTATTAAAGGTAATGTTTAAAATCAAATATACACAAATTAAGAAGGAAGGTACTGTACATCTGGGGTCAGGCTTGAGTAATGAGAGATTACAAGTATCAGTTACAAGGTTCACAAGATACATACATAGTACAAAACCAGCACAGACCCAGATTGGAGTGTGGGAGTTTTTAAAGCGTCAATGAATAAGTGATCTTGGGTATGCCACCCATAGAATGTATTTAGAGTCCAAGTCAGTATTGGTGTAGCGAATAGGTACATGGGTGGGGTGCATCCCTTGGTTCATCAGGGGAGGAAGTGGGTTATTTCCCTGACCAGCAGTCTTGGTTACTTGTCCTAGTACTGACGGTGTCCCATGGTGTGCTCCGTGTACATGTCTCTGGACCATCTAATGGTGTCGGACACCATTAGCTGTCTCATGAGCCAGGTGTAGCACCGATCGACTCCACATATTTTACAGTGTTAGATATTCAACACCCAACAGCGTCCTATTACAGTACGGAGAAGAAAGAAGCCGAAACGGGATTCTGTTGAGCACTGTCATTCTGTTGAGCCACTGTAGCGAAAGCCACTTCAGGGATATTTGGACAGGCACTCCCTTGTTGATTAGCTATTCAATGCTGTGTGCGCACAGTTTAAGAGGAATCCACGGAAGCATCGTAACACTAATGATAGTAGCAGTCATAGTGATCGTAATTTCCCAACAAGAACTGCCCTGGTGCACACAGCTTCAGACCTGCCCCTACAAGCCAACCCATTATCTTTAATTGAACAAGACAGCAGCCACCTGCCAAACTATAAAGAGCAAGGGCCCCTACATCAGGCAAATGACTCTATAAAGGAGTTAGATCAGCTGTCCTGCTTGTGAATGAGACTGTACCTGTTGCAAAGCTTTCAAATCAATCTTCTGACCTTCTAGCTTGGAGTAAAATTCATCCACTGCCTTCAAGAGAAAAAGTCAGTTTAAAGAATTTCAAAAGATGCAGTAACCTAGATCAGGAAAGAGTAAGCAGACAGGGGGAGGTCCTGTTCCTAAGGGGAGACTGCAGAGATTGCAAACAGGAGTTTGAGCCTAAAATAGGTTTCAACAACTTCCCCGGCTCTACCTAGTCCAGGACCAGTTCAACAAGGTACTTAAGCACAGGCATAGCTTTAACCATGGGACTGAACTGGAGCCAAATTCTATATTAGCAAATGATGTAGTGAAGGAAGGAACACATTCCTTAATGTAAGCATGTATCTACTGTGAAACTACTGTACGTACAGCCGTCTCTGCAATGAGCCATCATAATAATCAACTGGTTAATAAGAACAGAATCTCCAAACCAAGCATATGAAGTTCAATACAGTTCTTTGTGGTTGGTTTCAATAGGCAGAAACTGCTTATAATAAAGTTTCTGAGTTTATTTATGCTATGGAAATCACCAGCGCTGTGAGGTAGGTGGTACAAACATGATGGGGAGGCATGGCAGGAGAGTGCAAAGTGGGGAATCTAGCAATCAGATTTAGTATAAAATAATCATCTATAGGTTATGTTAACCTTAGTTAACCAAGCACCGGAAAGGGCAAAGATTTCATTTTTAGTGAAAATCCATGTCAAACATTCACCATGTTTATATTTTTGCTATTATCCTCAGCTATAAACCAACTGTCTATAAACACCTATATAACCACCAGCAAAATATGTTTAAACAAGTGAAGACAGAGAGTAGCTAGTTTCTGAACACAAACATGTCTTTCGCCAATGCCACATGCTATATTTCAGCTACTGGACATTTGAGAGACAAGATGGGTGAGGAAATATCTTTTATTGGACCAACTTCTATTGGTGAGAGACTCAAACTTGGTCCAATAAAGATATTTCCTCATCCACCTAGTCTCTCGAATGTCCTGGGACCAACACAGTTACAACACCACAGTTACTGGACATGACAGACAAATTGGGAACATAAATGGGTCAACTGTAGTCACCAAGAAGTATTTTATTTAGCCTATATCTTTGTATGATATTTTCTGATTTTACACACCAAACTAACTAGTCATAAAGCATTAAAAGGTAATAGTTTCAGCATCATATTTTCTTTCATGTTTTTAGTATCAGTCATTTAAACTACTTAATACAGTATAAGCAAAACCACTATACCTTATCAAATGATTCGAATTCCATGTACGGACACTTTAAATGTTGAGAAAACAAGAAAGGATGAAATTCCTCATATCTGTAAAATATACATTTGATAGTATTACTTGAGTGCTTAATATAAATTAGTTTTCTAGTAAGAAAGGGAGTTAATACTTCAAATATTTACGTGAGGATTTCTTCTGCGGGTTTATCTGGCTCCAGGCTTGGCTTTTTCTCACGTTTCTGGATGATATAACCCTTAAAAAAAAAAAAAAAAAAGACACCACATTCATACTCATTTCTTTCCAGGAATCTTAAATGTTATTTTTCCTTTCTTGCCCAGGGAGGAACAATTTAACACCTTGCAAACATCTGACACTAAATCCGTTGGTAAGAACTTTTTTTGTAGAGACTTTATGGTGCTAACTGACTTTGCAGGTAAAATTTTGGCCACTCATTTTTATTCCAAAATATTCCAAATGAAAGCTGAACTTCTATAACGAACCCAAGTCTACAATGCATCACACAAACTTTGTACCTTACATTTTAAACAACCCTTGTTTGTTTGGGATGTAATAATGGGCAAGTCAGAATCAGAATGAATTGCACCATAAACTGAGCAATCCTTTCCTCCTTGAAGTTAGAGAAGAACTTGTTATAAGGCAGCAGACTCAGAACATGGAAGAGAGAGGAGTGGATGGGCTGTAGCACAATTTTTCCACTGGAAGTGAAAATGATCAGAAACACTGACACAGGCCCACAGAGGATATTCAATAGTTATTATTGCAATAAATAAATACATGTTTGAAAATTAGGACTACATTCCCAGGGTTAAAGAATTAACTCTATTACCTACTCGTAATTGGCAGTCTTTCTACTCAGGCCTTATTTCTGAGTTGCATTAAAATCAACGTAGAAGGCACATGAATACCTTTAAGACACATAACTGCAAAATTAAATGTTGATTCCTCATTGAACTACAGACTAAGATTATTCTGATATCCCTGAACACTCCATATGTTAAAATTACTATCAGTGTTTAAATACAACGGTGACACACAAGTCAGATAGGTCCCTTTTACTCCATTAGCTCATTTACAGGCTGCATGTCCAAGACAAGGGTCATATATATATTCCTTATTAGTATCTGGAGTGCATCATAGCAGCAAAAATAGAAAGACAACAACATAAAAAGATATGATAGGAATGCTAAACCAATAGCAAATGTCTAACATGACAGAAAAACAATAATGCATGTTCGTTTCTTATTAGACAGTTTAACTTTGAACCGTGCAGATATCAGTTAAGATTTACCTTCCCACTAAAGTTGTTAGTTATCTTCATATATTCTTCTGCCTTGTGTAAAGCAGCAAGTACCCTTTCAATATTTTCTAAAGGAAAAAAAAATGGATTTTGAAGAGACACGAATTTTGGGATATTTTACATAAACACATAGTGCACTACTTAACCAATAAAGGGTAAAGCTTGACAGACCAAAAACTAACCTATGTCACTAACTGCATTTCTAGTCAGGGGTAAGGAGGAATTTTCTCCAAGGCACAGTTCTTGTGGGAAGTCTGGATTATGAGATTTTCAATAATCCTACTCTCTGAAATACTCTAAAACCTTGTAAATTTTAAAAAAAGTCTGCATTTTAATAAGCATCTTTAACCATCAACTCCTTGCATTAGAAACAAGTGTCCATTTTGAAGAAAGCCTCATTTTGTGTCCTTTTTAAACTTTGAGATATTTCTTTTAAAAAAAATTGTATTGCAGCTACATGTATAAAATATAAGAGTGCTGGCACAAACACATAATCGCACATAAAAAGCAAGGCCTGGATGCCTGAAATTACCTGTCTTGACAAGGGTGTACAATGAAAGTCCCTATTTTTGAAACATTAGCCATAAAGCTCTCTTCTTTATTACAGCACCTCACATAACAACAGATATCAGGTATTACATTATTTTAATTAATTAGAGATCACCATATTAACACAGTTCTCCCCCTCCGAAAAACACTCATAGCAAAGTATGGTACAGAACTAATCATTCTGACCTTACCACCTCAACCCATAATTGTATATTCCAAACATATCAAAAGCAACTGTTCTAATTCATTCTAAATCCACCATCTTGCTTTCTAATCAATATATCTTTTTTTCATGATTAACACCTTGGCACATGACTCTTGTATAGTAAGTCCCTTATTACTCCTTCCAATATCACAATTAACTTTGTGCCATATGATGAAGTGCTACTGTAACTATTTAGAATTGAGGCTAAAAGGGATGGAAAAATACTGGTGTGTAAGCAATGCTAGGGCTTTAAGAGAATAGAGTTAAAATAGTCTCCAGCCTGTAAAAACTTACACTGCATATCCATTGTGATGCTCCCCAAGGGTACCCTGGGTTGTGAAGTGCCTCACCACTATCTGCTCTTAGCGTGAAGCAGTTTTGTCTGTGCCTGCTGTGGGTGAGCTCCCTGAAACCACCAGCCTCTGGCAACACAAGCCCTGTCTTCCAGGCCTCGCTTTCTCTGGACAGGTAGCAACAAGCAGACACCAGTCTCCAAATCCTTGGACTTTTCCCTGCAGCATCCAGCCCCTTATCCACTGAACGCTCACAGAATTACCAGGCCTACTCTTCCCAAAGGAACACTACGTACCAGCTTTTAAGTTTCAACTGAGGACCACCACTTTGCTTAACACCACAGCACTTAGATATATTTATAATGAAAACAAGAATAAGGGGTGAATAGAGATTCAAGGAGTAGTGAGTATGAATATTGGAAACCAATGGTTACATATAAATAAATCATGACACGCTTTTAGAGACCAAACTTAACTAACAAGTTAACCTTCCATCTAAAGACGTTTATCTCACCCAAAGTTCTCTTCAGCATTTTCAGCCAATCCCGGCTGAGCCCCTTTTTCATGAAACAAAGCCACTGTTCTTTTACTTCCTCAGTGAAGGGTGCCTAGGTGTCTTCTCTGCCCCTCCAAATATAGTCAAGCAAACTTTGAAGTGCACAAATATTATACTCCTACATACCTTTGCTTCCCATCTGTTGATCTACTTTGGCATTACCAGACAATCCAGCTTCTATAAGGCAGTGCTCAATGAGTGTGGCTCCATAAGCTATAAAAGTAGAGAGAACCAACTATAGAAAGCTGTTTTAACATTCAGGTTGAAATCTGTATTAAGAATGATTAATTTCCAAAACTGAATATGAGATTCTGGCCACCACTGAGAAAATTCAACAAAGGTCACGATACTATAAGTGCTTCGTGGACAAATCCCTACACCCATATAAAGCACATTAAAGAATTGCAGCCAAGTTCCTATACCTTTTTATTAAAATTCTAGTCTTTTAACAAATAATTTTGCATTTTATATATAGGAGACTGTCTTGAACCTTCTGAGACACAGTTGTGTGTTTTTTATTTTAATTTTCAGATTACATCTAATATGAATGCGAACAGTTTGCACATTTCATTTTGTAATAATGTCATTACTTACGAAGATGTGGGTTAAGGACCCTCTTTAGCAGTTCCCCGTTAGGTGCATTTGATATTGTTTCAGTCAACCTAAGAAACATAATAAGCAGAATAGCTGCTATTCAAAAGAATAAATGCACGATGTTGAATTGATTTTCCATGTTTTCTGAATTAAAGAAGAAAGCAAACAATTTCAATTCCGTGAGAGCTACACAACATTCAAAGCTTAAAACAGACTCAAAATGTTTATATGTAGAAGTGGTCTTTACTTTATTTATAAGATGCATGTTGGACAGAATAAAGTTACCTTTCCAAGGTAGGTAATGGTGCAGATGCTTTAGCGTTATCAACTGGGTACCGTTCCCGAACTGCAAATTTGACATCATCTGCCTCATCTGTGCGAAACCTCAGGATGTTTAATATTAAGTATTCATAGTCTGTCAGAACAATGTTTCCCTGCAAGAGCATCAAAACTGACCATTATTAGAGTCCATATTAAATACTAATGTATAGACTAAACAATTTTATGACTTACTCTGTCGTAAAGCTCAACAATGAGATGATAGGCTGCTTCATCGCTTCCAAATTGAAAGTCTACAATTCTGTCTATCCCCAGCTGTTTTACACTGACAAGTCTTCTACTCCTTAAATGCTTACGACACTGACGATGGGGAAGAAAGAAATATTAAAATATGCATATGTATATAAGGTGTAAACAGAAAGGTCCTACTCATAGTATTTTAAACTGAAATATTTAGTTAAACGACTGTGTGCCCCCTCCCCGTGACAATCTGAACATTTCTTGTTTATCTTATCTTTATTCCACTTATTATAGACAAATACAAGATCTGGTATAAACTTACAGAACTGAATATTACATACATGAGCTGCTCAAACTTTGATAACCATCAAGCTCTGATCTATTCTTGCTCGTTAAAGAAAAATAGTAGCTCCAAATTGCAAAAAATTAAACATTTTTGTTAAGCATTCAGCATTTACAGTAATAAAAACAGCTGTACTATTTGAAACTTGCACATCTCTGCCATGCCAAGGAGGGAAAGAGCTAGTGCAACCTAAGGCCCCAATCCTGCAATGACCTCCGCTCAGCGTTACTCCTGGATCCACCACAAGACTCCCACTGACTTCAGTGGGGGATTTGCAGAGACGCATTTCAATGAAGCTCCTCATGGGCACTCTTGTACCCCTGTCTGTTTGGTCTCTTTGCAGGAGTGGGGAGCTAACCAGATCTGTAATCTGATTCTGCAATCAGATTGCATCCACAACAGATCCATTTGCCGAACTGGAGCCTAATACTTCACTTCAAGACCTGACACCTCAGATCATCTAATCTTGAAGTCCTTACTCATGCAAGACTCCCATTCACTCTGGGTTTTGCCTACACAGAGATTTCAGAATCTGGTCTATATAATAATAATAATGTATTCACTTAGCCAAAGTAAAATTCCAACAGGCATGGCTAGTCCAGTGAACATTTATGAGCTTGAGTATCAAAGTCTTAAAAACTACATTTTGACTGTTGTCAGGTACCAAGCACCAGTTCTGTGCCAGTCCAGTCCCCCACCATTCTGCAGTTGCCCTTCCTTTCAGCCAGTCCACACATCATCATCATCTGCTTGACCAAGACCCACTCAGCTAGTTGGCAATACTTTAATAGTTCATTTACATCTCAGAGGTGAAGCTGCAGCATTACTCTCTCTTCTGAAGGAAATTTCAGAAAGAGAAAGATTAATTTACCTTCATTGCAAACCCAGATGGCATCATATTCTTTGGCCACTCAAACTCTGTTGTGTGAATCCGTATACCAGATTCAATTAGAAGTGTAGCTTTACAGTCTGGCCTGTTGACAAAATAAAGACTAGTTTGACACTTTAAAAGCCACCAATTTGTGATTATACCAATGACATTTCATTACATTAGAGCTGTAGACCAAAGTACCACAGATAGCCCTTCAACTTCAAGTCAAAGAAATCTTTCAGACGAAGTTATCGTCAAAAATATTAGAACAGTTGAGATATATTGAGGCCAGTTTGGTAGCAAAAAGACAAAGGTAAAAACTAGATAAACTAAACTAAGGGCTAGATCAGGGGTCAGAAACCTTTCAGAAGTGGTGTGCCGAGTCTTCATTTATTCACTCTAATTTAAGGTTGTGCGTGCCAGTAATACATTTTAACGTTTTTAGAAGGTCTCTTTCTATAAGTCTATAATATTTAACTAAACTATAGTTGTATGTAAAGTAAATAAGGTTTTTAAAATGTTTAAGAAGCTTCATTTAAAATTAAATTAAAATGCAGAGCCCCTCGGACCGGTGGCAGTGTGAGTGCCACTGAAAATCAGCTCGCGTGCCATAGGTTGCCTACCCCTGGGCTAGATATACTGAGGTTACTTGGTTACTCCAAAAATATCTGGGATTACCATACCTTTTGCAGGAAGTTGTTTGAAAAGTCTCCCACCCGGAGCACTGTCCAGTTCAGGGGGTCTCAAACATGCGGCCCGCGGAGTTATTTACTGAGGCCCGCCAAGCTCCCCCCCCCCTCCCGGAGTTATTTCCTGTGGCCGCCAAGCTCCCCCCCGCACGCTGCATCCCCTCCTCTGCCTACCTCCAGGCATTTCCTGCTGCCAAACAGCTGTTTGGCAGCACTTAGCGCTTTCCAGGAGGGAGGGGGGAGGAGCGGAGAGCTGCGTGCTCAGGGGAGGAGGCGGAGAAGAGGTGGGGCAGGGTGGGGATTTGGGGAAGGGGATGGAATAGGGGCAGGGAGGGGGCAGAGTTGGGGTGGGGACTTTGGGGAAGGGGTTGGAATGGGGGCGGGGAAGGGGTGGGAAGAGGTGGGGCAGGGCCTCATGGAAGGGGTGGAGTGGGGGGCGGGGCAGAAGGGGGGGGCTTTTGTATCTTTATATGAAAAGGTGTCAGTGGTGTGACTCGGGCCAACGTACTAGTCCTCATGTGGCCCTCACGGTGATTTGAGTTTGAGATCCCTGGTCCAGTTGGTCAGGTGTATTACAAATGGGAAAAGAGAAAGCTAACAGTCCAACACAGAAACTAGGTGACCAAAAGGGACTTTTCTGGCTCTATGTAAAAAGCATCTGACTACACAGACTAATTGCTTCAGAACAGCAACTCCTGTGGTCATAGCTGCTTATTACCACAGCGTATGCACAGTTCTTGGTATTTACAAGAAAAAACTTTTAGGCACAAAACACACCTGGCTCTTCCACTTATCTTCTGTATTTTGTTTGTAAAAAGGGAAAAAACAATTATCTTCCTGTGATATTTCCTATGAACTCCCATAATAAAAATATTTATCTTCTTCCAGGGAACAACACAAAACTAAGTTTTAGCAAACGGATTATAAAGGTTTGATAAGCAGCTGTTAATACAAGACAAATAGGCTCAAATTTAAGGAGGAATAAAACAGACTTCACAAATGTTAAGAAGTTCTTACTTTTGAAGGCGAATAAGATATGTCTTATTATCCACATCATAGACATTGTTTACTCTCATTCCCAATAAGCTGTTAAACAAAAAATAAACACATTTTGTTAATCCAGTATAGAATTCATACAAGCCTGTCAGAAAGATTCAGTGACAACTGAATCTATATGTACACAAATAAGTTTCCTAGGTTACAATATATTATACAAATAGCATTTGAAGAGGTGATAGGGCAGAAGCAGTAAAATGGACACGCTCCAGGGAAAATTATGATACAATTAGAAGATACGGGGAGCACTATTAATGAAATAAATGCAAAAAGAAAACAGAATAGCCACTTGAACAAGACTCTAATACAACTCCAGAATTTCAGCGACAATTCATGTTATGAGACACTAATGCATATGCATCTCTCTGCATCACCAATTTATCATTGAAGCCCCACTTACATTAGCAAACTAGCCCCCTGGCTGATGACTGTCAGCAATACATCTGGCTGAACAGGTGCTGA